TCCCGTGGTGAGGAAATGCGAAGTTGTCAAGTTATAGATGATTTATTTTCATTTTAGTTTAGTTAAAATCAGTTGTGGAGAAACTGTTGCCATGGGAGCATTTGTCATGGTAATGACTAAACAAAAATATAAATCCAGTGATGAGCTTCGAGCATACTCGAAGGTGATGAGGAAATGCGTAGTTACCAAGTTATATGATTTAATTTAGTTTAGTTGTAAACAGTAATGGGGAAACTGTTGCCATTCGGACGCTTGTTATGGTAACGACTAAACAAAAGGCCAAATCATGTGGTGAGGAAACGCGTAGTTGTCAAGTTATATAATTTGGCTGAAATCAGTTATGGACAAACTGTTGTCATAGGGATGGATACTTATCATGGTAACAAGTAAACAAAAACCCAAATACCGTAATAAATAAATGTGTAGTTATAGATGCTTTAATTTAACTATAGTTTAGCTGAAATCAGTTACTGAGAAACTGTTGTCATGGTAACGACTAAACAAAAAAACCAAATTCAATTGTAAGGAAATGCATAGTTGCCAACTTATATATGATTTAATTAAATGTTAACTGAAATCAGTTTCGGAACAAATGTTACTATAGGGTCACTTCTCATTGTAATAAACAAAAACTCAATCTCGATTGGAAAAAATCATAGTTGCTAAGTTATATATGATATAATCTAACTTTGGTGCAGCTGAAAGGCATTTTTCATGCAAGTCATGTACTAGCTAGCATGAGAATTGCCTTCTACCTATTTGTTTAATTTTATATTGATATTATATTGTACTAAGTAATTAAAATGGTTGTAATGTCCACAAATTTTTCAATGTTAATACTTTTTATATAAAAACTTTTTGAAGCACACCGTAAATTCCAAAATATTTTTTAATTATAGCTCTAATAGATATTCATCTTTCTGTATAAAAATAATTTAAAAAAAAACATGTCTTAGTCCTGGCCGACGTGTATAGGATGCCCCACTCTGTATGTGTTACAAATGGCTTTATATTCGTCCTAATGTAAATGGGGTGATAATATTTGTGATTGTATTATTATGATAGTCCATTACCTTGGTCTTGAACCATTGGTCCCGGTCCTTGGAAGAGCATATGTGGGGCTATGTAACCAACACATAGAGGCCAATTGGTAAGGGATACACGTGGTGGATAAAATCGTCGACAGCATCATATGATATACCCGGATATTATAATTTATATATTACTAAGAAGTATTAATTACTATTATTTGCCTGTAATAATCACTACAATAACAGGATATAAGTACTGGCCTACCGTTCAATTAGTTACATTTAGGATGATATAACTCGGAACGGACAAGTAATTGAGAAGAGTCGTAATGAAGAGAAATGTTCTCCTTAAAAAGATCTTTCAATTGGTATATAACTTATTCTTATTGGAGGTGGGGCAATTTCCTATATATTTCTGCCCATTGTCCTTTAAGCTCTTAATCTTGTTAATGATTTTTTAAAATTCGCCGAAATTAGTGGCTAAAACCCCTCGACATACCATTTGAGCCCAGATTAGTTCAATGGGATTTAGTTCACAGTGATAAGGTGGTAACTGCAACACTTTAACTCCATGTTATTTTGCTATTTCATATTCACTATACTCCTTAAATTTTAGTAAATGATGTTTACATAACTAAAATAGCTCTTTTTTGAGTAATCCTTCTTCTGCCACTATTTCTTTGGTTATTAGCCAATCAGCAGTCATTTCTTCATGGTAGTCTTTCATAGAAATTAAAACAAATTATAACAAGCTTCTATCAACAAATCCTTTATCTCCTCTAATATGAGTGATAATTAAACGGTAACCTTTACCATTTAGAAATTTTAAGCCAGTAGACAAACCTTCTATAAATACCTGACGAGCATTTGTAACCTGTTTATCTGACAAACTTTTTTACAAAATGTCCTTCATTTATTCATGTTCCATTCGAATAAAAAGTACTTTTGTATTCTTTTCTTAATTTTCTAATTTCTCTTAAGTATTGCCTCCTCCAACAAATAATTTTATCTTTCTCTATGAGCGCAGATTTTCTATCGTTCTTCTCCCAAACGAAGTCTAATTCATGTACAGTTTTCCACAATTTGTCTCTTTTAACGTTTGGCAAAGTTTCGTTTCCATTAATGTCTACTAAAAGTTTATCCAAAGTAGGTATCTCATTTTGTAAATAAAACGAGTGCACTTTTCTTTGGATCAGTTATTTCATAGTACCAACTATTTGAATGGGTTGTCTCCCAGTTTTAGGTGGTACTGTAATACTATGATCCTTTCGTTGCTTCAAAAGTCTATATATAAATGGTTGCTTCTTGTAATGAAGTCAATTTTCATTACTATATTTCGACCTATTCCGGATATAAATTTTTATTTTTATTTTATTTTAACTTCATGGGTAGACCCTGTACATCAAATTTTGTTTCATTTAAATTCGCGTATTATACCTGAGTAACGATAGCGCGCGCGATCCGCGCACTTCAAGTGGGGAGCTAGCCTGCTTGGGCATAGACTCGGATTTTGATTATTAAAAATCATTCAATTGACTTTACTGATTCGACTAACATCTGCTGCTTTTGCTCCGATATACACCGCTGAAAATTATCGCCGATACCGTAGTTAGGTACACCGAATTTGTTTACATTTTTTTTTGTCGACGGTTCTTGAGTTAAAACGTTCGAATACCGGTTTCATTTGAAATAATTATTCCGTTTTCGATTTTATTTAATAGAAATAATAATTGATTTCAGATTTTCGTTAAAAATATTTTGATTTACAGATAAATTATTTAGGTTTGATTTTATTTAGAAACATTGGAAATTAGTTTTGGTTATTAGGAAATAGAAACTTTGTTTCTATTTTATTAATTAATTAATTTTATTACGACCGTGAATTGTGTTTCTATTTTACAGTAATAGTAAACCTAATTTCAAATTAAATTCCGTATACAGTTGATTAGTTAATTTTCATGGCATTGCGACCGTGGATTTTGTTCCTAATTTTTTTTAAGTAATAATAAATTTAAATTTAAATTAAATTCCGTACATAGTTAATTACTTAACTTTTACTACGACCGTAAATTTTGTTTCTATTTATTCACAATCTGGTTTAACTTTTTTTTATTTATGTTTCTTTACTTGGGAATAGAATTAGTTCGAAAGTTGGAAAGTTGAAATAGTATCATTTTTCATGTCGAGTGGACTGGTTGTGGCGAGAAAGCTCACATGGGATTAGATACTATCCCGGTTTTAGATTTTATTTAGATTAACCCCTATCCGTGATTAACATATTAGTGTTTTTCTTATGTTTGAGAGGGCTGGTTTTGGCGAGTACACTCATCATAGGATAAATACTGACCCGGTTTGATATTTTGTTTTGTGTTTGAGTGGGCTGGTTGTGGCGAGTACACTCATCATAGGATTAAATAGTAACCCGGATTTTGATTTTCTTTTAGTTACCTCCGCGCCGTGATTAAAATGATAGTATCATTTTCATGTTGAGCGTGCTGGTTGTGGCGAGTGCACTCCTCATAGGATTGATACTATCCCGTTTTCTTATCATTTATCTATTCCCCATTCACTAAAACAAGGAGGTTTGTTTCAGTTTCAATACCGACTAGAGAGTTAACCAGATAACTTTTACTACGACCGTGATTTTAATTTTTTTTACGAAACAAAATATTTAACTTTAATCTTTATGCCGATTTAAGAGTTAACTAATTAACTTTTGCTACGACCGCCATTATTTGTTTTTGGTTTCGTTTTGGCTCAACCACCGATCCGACAAATTTATTAATTAGATACTATTGCCACCGAGCATCTTTCTTCCGGTCATATTTAAACTATACTTCGACCAGTACTATTGAAATGTTCATGTACAAAAGCGTCATGTACATTTAACTCTAAATTTTTCATATGCACGGTTAAATTGCACTTTAATTTCACAGGAGTATAATTAGACGTTTGTGCCATTTTTATTGCACAAATTACTTGATCAATATCGCTTTTTATCGCATATCGCATTACAGAATTGAAATAAATTGGCATTTCTAAAAATTTTAGGAAGAAAACTCAAAATTTTATTTTAGAAAAATAATGCTATTTTAGAAATTCTCCGTCATAAAATTTTGCTATCATTCATTTTCAAATAAACTATAAATGTATTCCAAATATCTTCTAAACGAGGTGTCACTCGCCATAAGGTCCCATTTAATATTAGTTCCAGTCACTGTTACCACCAGTAAAGAAAATTACAATAGTTTAAGAAGAAAAGAGGGCGGAAAAGGACTTTGAGAGCAACTGTATTTTGACCTCTACAATACGTGGTATCCCTATGTCCCAGAAATTTTGGCAGACTCTCTATGGGAACCCCAGTATCTACGCAAACTATGGAATTGATATATTTGTAACAAAATAAATTTAGTAGTTTTAGCAATGCTAGTACCAATGTAGCTGTTTTTGATGAATTAAAGACCATTTTTGAATAATGATTTTAACTAGTTAAAAATAAGTTTGATTTAATTTTTTGTTTTGGCTTGTGGGTTAAAAGGTTTTTGCTAAGAATGCTTTATAGAATAAATATTAGAATGGTCGAATAACTTTAAATATTTGTAATTTATTAGTTATGTGGGTTTGGCAGGTTTGACTTATGAGGGCAGTATAAGTAATGGCACATATCAATATTTAGTGTATTTTTACACAAAGTTCAATAATTTATGTTAACACAGATGGAGATGAAAAATTTTAAAATTAATATTTGGACGGTGGCTTAAACCACTGGCAAAATCCAATTAACTAGTTTTCCTACAGTTGTAACCTTTTTACATATTATTTATTCCGAAAAAATAAATAATATTTCAATTTTAATAAAAATAAATATTGAAATCATGCATTCATAACTAAGATCGTAAATATTTTTAGTCTATTTCGAGGAACAATTTTACGTTCAGCTACTTTTAACAAATAAAATATGCAACTTACCTCTCCAACTTGATTTTATTGGACATATTAACGTTGAATTATTTATGAGGTAAGCATTAAGGGTCATCAGACTGGGAGACTTTCGCAAAACATCCTCGTCGTTTTTCCAAACGTACTTTATGGCCGTCATTTCATATGATACTGAAATAAAAATAAAAATTATATCGTTAATTTTTTGTTTCATTTTTGTTTAATTATAAACTGGATGAATCATTAAGAATGGAAAATCTCAAAAGTGAAGATTCTGGAGAAAAAGTTTCAATTGCATATTGTACAGTCCCAAAGAAACGGCATTTCTAAAATACGGGTGTATAAGGGCATAACAATCTTCAATTTTTTATGCCATATTACAGAGTGTTTTCAGTAAACCAATAAATATCATATTGTAAATTGTCTTAACTTTTTTTTAATGAAACATTTAGTTGAGGTCCTTACATGATTAGCTCATAGAATAAGTTTTTGATCCGTTTCTAATTATACGGCTATGGTTTGAAGTAATCAAATCAGCACAAGAACATAACCTTAAATATTGTTGACTTTCTACACATGTAACACCGTGCCCGATAGCAGAGCAATAAGGTTCAATTAAAATTGTTGTTCCGGAAACTTTCTATCATGGTGTGAAATAGAAAAGAACCGCAAAAAGTCGGCGATTATGATGAAGGAACTATGAAAACTGCCATACTAAACGTTATCATTAATTAAGTACTAGACGAAAAGCTTCAAAAGAAGCGAATTTAGAGCACATAACCCCTTAACAGTTATATTGTCTAATACCAAAATAGTTCACAAGAAGATCCCTTACATTTCCGCTTCACACCTAGATATAATACCAATCAAGTGTTTCTCAAGGAACTGGACTATGGATTGACAAGAAAACAGGTTTTGACGTTGCCATATGAATTGGCTAAACGAAATAATTTGAAATATCCATCTACTATGAAGACGAAAGTCTTTATACTAACTACAGAAATCAACAAGCAGATGTTGATTGACAACGAGTTAAAAGCATGTCGTATGTATGAAGACTAGAGATAGTCGTATGTACTATGGACTGACAAGGAAACATGTTATGAGGTTGTCATATGAATTGGCTAAACGCTTAGAGCATATAAGACTAGAGGTGTTACTCAAATGGGTATTTTCCTTTGCATCGAAAGTATGTATGGACAGAACGATAATTTCAGAAGTAGCGTAGCTTAGTGCTACACTTTCGATGCAAAGGAAAAGATCTATTAATAAAATGCCTGCCAGCTATGTGATATGCAACTACGTGAGCAGTTTGTTTGGGATTATATAGGTACGCCGAATTTCCTTAAGATAGTCACCTATCCAAGCAGTAACTGCACGTGGTCTTGCTTGACCACAGATAGCGGTTCACAACAGCTAACCTGCCAATCTGAGTTGCTGTTTATGTAAAATTTTACGAAGGGTTTCAATGTTTTTCAAAGAACTGAAATTCCCTAGGATATTTCGAATATTTTCTTCTATAAGAAAAACAGCTAGTTATTATCCTGAATGGAGAAACTCATGTGTTTTCGGAGAATTTGGTTATCTGTCAGCGGAGAATCGAGGAGAAGCTTGTGGCAACACTGGTTTTTTAGGTAATATTTTAGTTCAATCATAATAATATTTAATGTTTGTTGGAGCTCATATGAAAATCTAAAAGCTAATAGATAGACCAAATACTATCAGTTTTAATTAATTTAATTTTCCAAAATATACTTAAATTATCCAAAAAGGAAATAAATGCGTAGTACCAGTATCTAATATCAATATTTTGATATTTTTGTTGATTTTGCGCCGTGATAAATATACTAGAATAACCAGAATCAGGTCCAAAATATAATAATTAATGAAAGGAGGAAATATTTTAAATTTAACAAAATACTTACATATTATGAATGTTTATGTAAAAACAAATTTTATAAGGTAACTATCAAAATGGTTTGGATTTAATTTTCCTACACAGAGATTTTGTAAAGCAGCCGAAATAGAGAAGCTTGATAAGATTCTGAAACTAACATTGTTATATGATGTGATAGATGTGATCCACAACACAATGCTAAACTTATATTCTTCTTCTTTTTCAAATGGCAGGGTGAATTTGATTCAGAGCCATGTAGTTTATCTTCAGATAAAACAAATAAATAATAGATAACTAACGGTGTTGGAAAATAACTGACAAGTATGAAGACAAACGGTCTGGATTTATTTGAAGCCAGTATAAACCGTTTTTTCTATTACTTTCTCTTTCTCCTGGGTCTTTGATGTGATTCGTCTACTTTAAATAGCAGCGCCAAAATTTTCTCACAACTGTCAACAAGCTCTTGGGAACTGTCAGTTTTGTTTGTATATTTTGTATGATTTTATTTTCACGGTTAATACTAGAATGTCATGAAGCTTTGGCCGAAGTATCCATCAACAATGTGGTCACCTTAAGATGGATCAAAGGTCATGCCACATCGAAAAGTTATCGTCTTGCTAATTCACTAGCCAAGAAAGCAGCTAACCAAATACTTTTTGGACCTGGTCCTTCTATTGGCTTGATAAAATCGGTAGTGACAGACCTAATTAAAGAACATTCCCTTGTGAAATTCAAGGAGAAGATGGGATGAAACAAGAAACTGCAGAGTTGCCAGGGAGCTCTAAAGTTATCCTGACAACACTGCAGCAAACAACTACTTGACTATGACTAGACAGAATCTGCGCCTAGTCACAGGCATTTTGACTGGTCATTGCCAAGTACGGAAACATCTCCATATCATGGGGCTGTCAAAATCCGTACTCAGCAGAGGATGCGAACAAGAAGATGAGACCATCGAGCATATCCTTTACGATTGCTTGACGCTCTCATTTATTAGAATATTTGTGTTCGGCGAGTATCGGCTAACACCGGCCGATATAAGAGAAGCACCTCTTGGCGACGTTGTAAACTACATTAAATCTGTAGGCTGGCTTACGAGCTAGGAGGTGCCTATCATCTTAGAAGGATGCACAATGGCCTAATGAGACCTAAGTGGTGCCGTGGGGGTATCCCACCTACCACACGTTACAGATACAGATGATTTTATAGTCCCAGGGCATATTTTTAAAGTTTTTAGAGTCTCTAGGTTTTTATAACGAATTTTTTTAGTTGCAAGTCTTAAAATTACTAGTCTAAAACAAACAGTTGAAGAAGTTCCACTTCGTTTTGTACAGGATCCGTAAGTAAGGTCGACCTTCACCCATCTGTTTAATGGATGAAAGTTTGTTTTTATTAAATAAAATATGTTTTTAAATATACCGCAAAAGGGTTGCCTAAGAAAATACGGTCACGACCATTTTTTACTTTTCTTTCTGTGTACATCTAAGGAAAGTATAGGAATTCTAGATAAAAGTTGCTTGTGATGCCATTCTCTATTATTTTGTCCCTATACATGATTTCTGTAAAATGGACCTAATTCGAGATATTTGAGGAATAGTTCAAATTTCGAACGGATGAAGAGAAAAACACCAAATATTAAAATTAAGCTTTAATCCATCCTGCGGTAAGCTGATTAAAGCCATAGTCGAAATATCTGGGGAATAGTTAGAGGGTGTCGTTTTTTTTTTACTTTAAGAAAATAAATAGTTATGACCGTATTTTCTTAGACAACCCATTTGCGGTATATTTATAAATATATTTTATTTAATAAAAAGAAACGTTTATCCAACAGATAGGTGAAGGTCTACCTTACTTCGAATCTTAGACTATAAGTAAATAAAAACATGGGCGGTATACGTGTATTGTAGAATACTATTAGTAATTTTTTACGCAGGTTTCCTACAAACTTTGAAGCAATGGAAATATGGATTCAAAATCTAGAATTAGGAACAGTTAAAGTTGATAAAATTAACGAAAACACTAAAATGTATTGGAAACATTTTATAATTTATGATTTTGTTATGAATTCTGCCAGGAAAGACGAATTTAAAGGTGGAAGCAATTCCTGTTGCATTCGATTCTCGATTTGGTCCGTCTTTAAGTAAGTTATAACAATATTATGTAATACAAAACCTAATACAAATTATTCATAAATTTTAAACTTAGATATTTAATTTAAATAATTAATGCTATATTGTATCCTCCTTGACGAAGTAAAATAAATTGTAGTGCTTCCTAGAAAGAGAACATTTTATGAAAATATAAACTACTCCAAAGAGTTTCTTGTATCTTCTGAAAATTGGCAATAAAATGAATTACACTACTTAATGATTATATTGTAAATATTTTACAATTCTTTTTAGGGAAAATTTACTTGCTATTGAATGTAGTTAAAGATAGAGTGACTTGTACATACTGGATCAGAGAATATAAAGAAGACATCTATAAAAGTGCCAAAATTCAGAGAAAAAGGTTATGCTAAAAATAGGTAAATATAAAAATGCTCATTTTTAGAAAATATTTATGGCACATATTATTTTGGAGATTATTAAAAGATCTAAAATTCCAAAATCTTTAAAAACATGTTGAAATTTTATTAATGAAAAGTTTGTTAATCTAGAACAAGGGTTATTCTCTAAAGTTTAGCCCAAAACTCATAGCAACAGAAGCACCAAGCGGACTTGTCAAACAAGTTCAATCATCAACACGCCAAGCATGTGATTATGGTATTCTCTAATGCTAGACGAATGTACTATTCGTAAGTGATTTTAATGTTTGTTATAAGCTGTCATAAATTATAAATCGTAAATGCTGATTGGTCTAAATATCTTAGGTTAGGATTTGAATGTCATTTTGACATTTTAATTATAGACTATTAGAATAGGATGAGGTCAATTCTAGAATTATAAGGAATCAAAAACATAAACAGCATACATTTGCTGACATTTTAATATTCAAGTTATATTATTTAGGTCGATATTTTAATGTTTGACTTATCTACGTCTGAAAATCTTAGCCTTAAATGTCAAAGCTTCAAGTGCGAACAGCAAAACACTACTCATGGGTAACTTTTTGAAAGCGATACTTTTTACAAATATGAACAGCACAGAAAGTAGAGAATACCAAAAGTAAGTGCTGTACACTTTTGTTAGTTGTTTGTCACATTTCTAGAGAGACTCGTGTTTTCAAAAATGTTGCTTAGAGAATAAGCCTCCTGATTATTTCAGCGAAGTAGAAGAAGGTTGCAATCTAGAATATCTTTCAAAATTCGCTGTTAACATATTTAAGAGATTTCATAAGCGAAAATGCATCAGAAGCAGTTGAGGTACCTATGTATCTAGTATTAAAATAACAATTCAATTTGTTGACATACATGTTGTCATTTGAATATAATATGTAGCCTATGCAGAATTTCGGTTCCTATGGAATTTCTATATATTTCTTCAAAAATAGACCACTAACTAACTTTATCCTTTTTATTTATAATTGCAATTTTTGATGCTTTTATATTGTATTTTTTCATTTATTTATATTGGATTTTTATATCTAATCCTTGTATTATTTTTAAATTATTATATCCTTTGCATTATTTATTGTATGTTTATACATTTTTGGATGGAGCTTTATTGAGTCTTATATATAAAACATTTTTATCACACACAAGTTGTACCTAGACAAATAATGTATGTCATTTAGATGTATACAGGAGGTTTTTCAGACATTATGCATATAATTTAGTAATAAACTGGCTAGATAGTAGCTTCAAATTTCTGGAATTACTAATATTTACTCTCGTGAAAAACGAAGGATGATGCGAATTTTCTATTATTATATAAGTTGTTTAATGGTTGTAATATTAACTCACTGCTAGAAGTTACTTGGCCTCGGCCGTATATTTCTGATTTGGTCGAAAAATATCAACTCTCTGGCACACAAATATCTATTTTATTTCTATAAAAGGCATTAAAAATTTATGAAAAATGTATATCTTATCTATAAAATTGTTATTAATGATAAATAATTTTTTTATTTTAATTAAACGAAAATAAAACCTAAATCGATAACAAATTTTAATGTTACTATTCAAGGTATCAAGGTTTTAGGGCCTCGTCACTTCAACCTTTTTTATGCTTCTAGTTGATATGTTTGTGTAAAGAGATTTATTGTTTCTATTAGGCTTAACAGTCTTCATTAGATCTTTCTTGTAACAATGTTACAGAATATATAAAGGTAAGTTTTAACAAATTTATAGATTGGTCCATCCATTAATTACTTTTAAAGCATATAGTAAGTTTGTTTATTCTTAGAATATCTGTTGAGGGTGGGTTACCCCACGGCACATAGGCCTCACTAGGCCTATTGTGCATCCTCCTAAGATGATAGGCACCTCCTAGCTCGTAAGCCAGCCTATAGATTTAATGTAGTTGACAACGTCGTCAAAAGGTGCTTCTCTTATATCGGCTGGTGTTAGCCGACACTTGCCGAACACAAATCTTCTAATAAATGGGTGCGTCGAATAATCGTAGAGGATATGCTTGATGGTCTCATCTTCTTGTTCGCACCCCCTGCTGAGTGCGGATTCTGACACTCCCATGATATGGAGATGCTTTCGCACTTGGCAATAACCAATCAGAATGCCTGTGACTAGGCGCAGATTCTGTCTAGTAATAGTCAAGTATTTGTTTGCTGCAGTGTTATCAGGATAACTTAAAAGCTTCCTGGCAACTCTGCAGTTTCTTGTTTTATACCATCTTTCCTTGAATGAAAGGAATGTTTTTAGGTCAGTCACTACCGAACTTCTCCGACCAATAGAAGGGTCAGGTCCAAAAAGTATTTGGTTGGCTGCTTTTTTGGTCAGTGAATCAGCAAGACGGTTCACATTCGATGTGGCGTGACCTTTGATCCATTTTAAGGTGATCACATTGTTGATGGATATTTCGGCCAAAGTATCGTGATATTGTAGTACTAACCCTGAGTCAATTCGCGGTCTATTCTTAGAGTAAGAATGATAAAATCTATTACATATAAATTTTTTTTTGAGATAGAGGTGACTTGTTCCTTGTAATTTTTTTCCATATTTTTGAAAATAAGTGTAACTGCCCTAATTCCTATTTTTAGACATCCCCGTATTTTGTTAAAAAATTTAAATTTATAACTTAAAATGGTACGAATACCACCTTTAGGTACATGAAATGATTAAAACAGACAAGCAAATGCACTTTTTTCGCAATCTCAACAGTACTCTTGTAACGTAATGCGCGAATTCATTTTGGCTTACTTTTGGAATTGGGCATTGCAACGATTTGTCAAAATGCTGCCACTGGGAATTGACAGTTAAAATATGGCAAACCTGTGGGCCTGTTGTCATTGACAGGCTCAATGATACATAGTTATATAGATTGCTCAAAGCAAGTGTTCATTAATTTGAATAATCTGTGGACCTGGTGATTTTATAGAGTCAATGATATATAATATAGTTGTATCGATTGATAATTTATGTTTTTATGATGGTGTGTGAGTTTTTCCAGGTTTTCCTCACCTGTAAGTCAAATAGCACCATCAATCATTTTTAAGTCGTCCCGGATCGCCACGGCAAATAATAATAATAGCCGTCCCTTTTCCCGGACAAGCTTAGCTTTTGGGGTTAAAATTCACTCGTAAGGGGGTGAATTAGGGAGAATAGTATTATTATTATTCTTATTATTATTAAAATAAACATAAAATTATGCCTTAACGTAAAAATGTAGGTAATTATTTTTTTACCATATTCAAAGGCTGCAAATTGGTTTTAAACACATTTTTGTTAAACCAATTCTGATTAATGAGCACTTGCGAGGCAATATGGCCGCTTGTAAAACGACCCGCTTTGAGCAATCTATATAAATGTATCATTGATCCTGTCAATGACAACAGGCTCACAGGGTTGCCATATCTAAAATGTCAGTTCCCACTTGTCAGCAATTTGACATATCGTTGGAATGCCTAATTGAGATCTAACAATAGATTCGCAGCGCCGTCTGTACTTGACATTGGAACTATTTTAGTCAATGTTTTGTTTACATTTGTGTTTCTAAATAGCATGTTTTAAAGGAGATGAAATTAAAGTTTAACTTATTAGTTTTATTTTAAATAAAACACTTGCTAACCCTAAAGCACCGTTTAAGCATAAGGTAAACAAAACAAGGTCAAATTTGTTTTTAGATTTGTTGACAGTAGGGGGAGTATTGTCTATTTTAAGATGTCTCCCGTGGTATGGCCTCCATTGGGAATATCGGCTATATACAAATGTTGCTGCTGATATACAGAATTTATAAGAATCTGATTTTTATTTTGTAATTTTTCATTAATTTTAAAAGGTACATTGACTTGAAAATTGGCCGTAGATTTTCTTATGGCTCCAGTTTAATCTATGCTATGAAGCAACGACATAATTTGGTATTGTCTCTAGTTGCGATTTTCCATTCTTAATGATTTTTCCTTTTTTTATTGTTATTAACTTACTACTTTCCATTGAAAATGTACAAGTTGGGTCGTCGAAGGGAAAAATATGTAAACTTCCCTGGCAGGATAATATCAGGTGTCTCCTTAAACAAATGAAAATAGCTTACTGAATGTGAAGAATATTAAAATTGTTAAAAATCTTAGTACCGTTATTACAATTTTCCATAAAATACTTAAAAGTGTATTTTCTGTTACAAATAAATACTCAATAAATAATTTTCCTGGCGCCATATTACCCAAAAACTACCAATAACTATAGGTTGTTTCATAAAAAAGTATTATATGTATATACCCTTTCTGCCTAATTAACCCAAATAATAATGGATATATTATTACAGGCTGCTTAAATTACAAGCCGCGCTAATGAAATTTGGCAACCTAGGTAGGTGGTCTGAAGGAACATAACCTCACTTTTACCAGATCACCTTTATTTGGCATTTTTCGTTGCAGTTTTCAGCTAGTTTTACAATGTTTTTCCAAGAAAGTAATATATGGAATCTAGGACAAAGTTATTTAATGTTATAAACATAATGAGTATCTTCGTAGCGTTTTATGCCAGTTGAGAGGTAGGTATATATTTATTAGGTTATTTCTAGTCCTGGAAATTATTTCCAGCAAAACAAATTCCCTTTGTGTTATATATTTTTTTTTTATTTCAGAGGCCATGGCACTGTTGCATACCTGAATGTCAAATTATGAGTCTATCTTAAAGGAATCAAATAAAAAATGTGAAAGAACATTTAGCTTTCCTAAGTGTACACAAAGACAACAGGAGTAGTTAAAAGCTGTTCCGAGGAAGATCTGGACTCCCTTCTAAAAATAGTGTATTGTGTGCAAAATATTTTAATGAATCTGAAATTATTCGATTTCATGAATTTTCGACATGAGGAGACAAAACAAGTGCCGTTGGCATACCCAAAGTTATCTAAAAGTGCAGTATTCGTAATCTTCCAAATTATTTATCATCAGATCCACTAAAAACAAGGCCTGATCCAGAAAAAATAAATAATCAAAATTACGAGAACCAAAAAGAAAAAAAAAATAAAAATATTTAGAGACTTTCAGAAAAAAAAGAAAACTAGACACATTTACAAAATAGCTTTAATGTAGTCACGTTTCCTTAAATTACAGCTTAATTTTAAATAGGTCTAAGGTTATGTGTAATGAATTTTGCTCTTCCATTTATATAAAACAGAAAATGTATTATTTGTTTTTATATACCTCCTGTTTACACGGAAAGTGCGACATTTTGTAAGTTTTATATTTAACTCAATTATTTATTGATATTTATATAATTTTTTTATTACAAAATCTGACTTAAAAATGAAAAAGTAGGAGTAAAAACTCCGCCGAAAAAGTAAAAATGCGCGTTTCTACCCGGACCAATTTCATCAGCTGATTGCGGGGTTGCGATATCAACAGCGCGGCTTGTAATTTATGTGGGCTGTGATATTACTTATAAAAAATATTGGTCGTTCTCCTACCAAAATATTATCGATATCTTTCCCTCTTTATCGGTTCCAGTCAGCTAGTTATCCTAAATATAATAATTTCTCAATAAGACTACATTATGTGTTTCTTTCGAAATAGGATATATAATTTTAAACCATTTAATAAAAACAGGCAATCATTCTTCTTAATCTGATTTTTTGTATATCAGTCTATTTTATTTATTTTTTATTATTCTGATACTCCGCTAAACCTGCAGCACTGCTAACTCCAGATCTGGAATTTGACTCGATTGACCAAAATGTATCAGATATATCGCAGTAGACTATGTTGTTTCCATGGCGATACTTAAAGACAATTATTACAATAAAATAGGCCTTTGCAATAGACCTTTTCATCACAAATTTTTTTTGTGCGCATGCGTCAGTATCTGCCATCTTTTTCGTACTGTTTTTGTAAACAAGCATGTTAAAATGCCCAAGTGAAAAAAATTATAATCGATAAATAAGTACTTATATTCATTTAAAAAAGGAAGAAAAAGTAAACTAATAATAAGTTTAGTGTCTTAATTGAAAAATACATTTTTGCAATTAATTATAATTATGTTATCTGTATGGAAAGGAACAACGAAACGGTGTTGTTGTGTATAGAGAAAGTAAAAGTTGAAAAGCCTTTTGGTAGGTAGAGAGGGGGTAAACGTCAAACCACGTCGGGCGACTCCGAGAATTTCGCAGTAATGTTTACCTGCCAGTGTCGTTTCATAGAATAAGTAATTTTAAATTGTTATCGGCCTAACCGGACAATCGCATGTATTTATGGATTATAAATAATTATTAAACATGTATTATAATATTCAAATCATAATTTTACAAAATTTCAACAGCTATTCACAATTTATTAAACTATTTACTCGAAATTGTTATTAACATCTATAAAATAATTTTGTACGCCAATGTATCGCGTCCACTTTGGCGAGATCCGCTGCCAACCTGTCAATTTATGTGTATAAAGTGGGAGAACTGGCAAAAGCATTTCCAACTTTTACTTCTGTTCTAAAAGTGACACACGGTATATTCATTCAAAGGCTATACATATTATTTTATAAATTTTCCAAAGCCTTGGCTGCAATATGGTAAAAAATTATCAGGCAAAATCCAATTAAAACATGTTCAAAATGTGCATTAGGTGTAAAAAAATGTGACAACGGTTTTCGATGGATTAATGATGTTACTAAAGATAGTTATATTTTGTTCACTGCATTTTCATGGAGAAAGTGGTCCAACAGAAAAAAATTCTTATCTGGTATTAAACAATATTTTTTTAATATTAAATACTACTTTATACATAGTAATATGATTAAAAATGTCATGTTGATCCTCAAAATATTAAATAATTTATTTTATAAATTATACTTGTGATTAACTTTCATGTTAATTAAAGTGTTTTTGCAAATAATAATAGTTGGTTGGCATAATTAATTAGAATAGAATTATAATTATTATTTGTTTTTATTAATTTTTTACACAGTTAAGAAGTATTGATACACCTAACCTTTCAATCAGTCCACTTTGTTCCTTTGTAACAAACGTCCAAGACACTTCAGCCACCTTTTCAACTGCACACAACTATGCACTCCCATACAGTTTTAAAAAAGTTAATCACCATCAACGATTTTTTCTAATGATTAATTTCTCTGTAGAGATAATAGGTATTGCTTTCCCAGCCATTGTCGATCAAAACAGTACGAAACTTTTGAATTACCGCTATTTCAACATGGTGGCCGCGCTTGCGCTCATCACATGATGAAAAGGTCTATTGTTTGCAATTGACTTAAGCTTTGTTCCAACACACACACAAACCGTAATATTACGTTCATCGTCAAGCGCAGTAAATAAAAACCTCTCAATAAAGCCCAAAGTCGAACGGTTATTATTTACTGCGCATGACGATGACCGTAATATTACGGTTTGTGTGTGTGTTGGAACAAAGCTTAAGAAACCCGGTGAATGACATTTTACAGGTGTTTCAAGACTTTTTAAAATATGGCACCAAAAACTGCATAGTATATTAAAAATCCACTAGATATCGGTAGAATGTGAAATACCTCAAATAAAAACAAATAATGGCTCTGAACTGCCAGAAAAATTTAGTTAATTTTTTTTAAAATAATGGTAATTTATTAATGTCTACTAATCGTACTCTATGTAACGAAATGGAAAGTGAAAACGAAAAGAAAAATACTGTACCACATAGTGTGTAGGTATTCTTTCCTACAAAATTGTAAATATTGTTGAAAAAATAAGTGTTAAAAGTCATTTTGATGTTATGTTTATAGAAGTGTAGGTGTTAAATTATAACTGCCACATTTTAGATAATTAATAAATACATTCCAAAGATACATGCTTATTTTGTTACCAATCCTAAACAATTTCACATGCAGGGATCTCCTAATTGCAATAAAATGTGGTTCTTACAATGCAAATTGATAAAAAGGGTAGGTGCAAAAACGATCTGTAAACCTTAATTACCTTTATGAATAAGTGTTATAATAAACTTTTTATTATATATAAACGCAGAGGATTGTTTTCAATGGATTCATTAACTTATACTACTTTAATCATTTACAAAAAGGTTTGTAGGTGTAACTACACACAGATTGACAAAAACAAAGGAAAGGTAGGGCTTTTCAAGTTTGGAAATTTTATTAGTATTCGCCAAGAGCTTGCTTTATAAATATAAAAAAGAACAAATTATTATCAATCATTGAATTTTTTACATTTATATATAATATACGGATGATGTCTTAACAGTCGAACTGCTAATTCTAATAAAATGTACACACATACACTGTTCGATGCCTGCCGTTAAATAAAAGTTTCGCCACTCATGTATATAAGCTTATAAGCCTTAGTTTTATGTTTTTTTTTTGTTATTGTTGATTGTCAATGAAATTTTACTAATGTCAAGTCATGTTTTGATGTAATAAATTATTTCCAAAATTGTTATCTATACAGTGCACAATCGAGTTCAGCCCGCAGCGGTACATACACAATAAAAAAATTGAAAATTCCTTTATTCGTTTCTTTTCTTTATCTATAATAGTTATTTATGCAACAAGTGCAAAAAGTAAGTGTATTGCACGCGACGTGAAATTGTCAACACATCGACATCGACAACACGTCGAGTGCAATAAACACTTTTTGCACGAGTTGCATACAATATTTTTTCTACGTTCATGCAAAAACCAAAAAATGTTTTATAGAACTGCAGTTGTATTATCCAAGTCATAATAGCCGTGATCGTGTAGCTTTGTTTGAGGCATTACGTTTGTGTTCATAATTTGTAATGACATTTTTAATAAAATACATTTTTTTATTAATTTATTTATTAAATGATTGAAAATAATATAAAATATGCGATTGTTTTTAAAACGTAACACCGAAAATGAAAATGAACTAAATATTTGGCGTTGATTTGAATATTTATGTTTGTCATGATCATAAAACGCTGTAGTAAAATGACGGATGAGTGCAATAAAATTTTTATTGCACTAGTGCAATAAAGAACCAGTTTTTTCACTAAATATAGTTCAATAAAGTTTTGTTTTTTGCATGAACGTAGAAAAAATAATATAAAAGCTTATAACAGCAATTACTATCGTCTTTATCATTTTATTTCTACATCGTCCACTTCTACTTTTGATTGCTTTTGATATCTAAATTAAAATTTGACATCATGTACTTCATTCATATCTAAGATCAACAATAACTAGATTAGACAATAACTAGACCTCAACAATGATGAAAGAAGCAGTACTTTAAGCTAACTTTAATAAATAATATTGCAAAATTATTAGAGTTATAAATAAAATACAATTATATTTGTTCGTAAATATAATATATGTCATGCTCCGTGAACAATAGTATAATAACCTGCCAAATGATTGACCAATCATCTGATGGCCAAATCTTGAAGTTGGATACATGTTGATGTTAAAATATACTTTATCTAGCCCTTATAATGGTCAAACAGGCACCTCACCTTCTAACGACCTCTAGTGGAAATTTTGGAACTACTTTGTGTTTGGTGCCATATCGTCTTTTGTTTTTATATGGGATTTTAGGAAAGTGGAAACACCTGTAATAAGTCTTTCTTTCATCGTGCTTAGAAATGACATATAACTAGTGCCCGATGACAATAAGAAGAATACAGCTACTTACGTCATAATTGAGAAATAATTTATTGACTATCGCCGCCTACTGGAGGTTTAGTGGAGTGTATATACAGGGTGTTCCATCTCAGACGAGCCACCCCGTATATTTATTATCCCATAGTAACTGGAAAAATATCCCGAAACGCGTCAGATGATTTTCTTTGGGTGACATCTTTTGACGTATATTTGAGGCTTGAACAAGCAACCCCCTATGAGGGGGCGCTTCAACCCCTCAAAATTGAATGAGGAAGAGGAGTTGAGTGATACTTCATTTGTAAGGTCTTGAAAGCCTCTTTACAACGGTGTATGAAAAAAATCACATTCTTAAAAGAAATAATTGTTTTATCATGCTAACAATCAAAAAAATCAAAACTGCATTTATAAATCAAATGTTCAAATTGTCCTCCATTGACTTCCATACAATAATACAATCTTGACTGAAAACCGTCTCTTACATGGTCCAGCATAATTGGAGTTATTTGACGGCACTTATTTACAATTCGTTGGCGTAGTTCGTCCAAATTTTCAGGCTGAGTCACAAAAATCTTGGACTTAAGATGTCCCCACAAGAAGAAGTCCAGAAGCTTCAGGTCAGGAGAGCGAGCAAGCCATTCCATAGGACTTCTTCTTCCAATCCAACGACGAGGGTATTGTAAATTGAGGTAGTGGCGAACTGGTGCGGCATAGTGAGGAGGAGCTCCGTCTTGTTGGAAATGCAATTGTTGTTCAATTAGTAGAGGATCGTTTTCTAATTTTTCTGTTATTAACGGATCAATCGCATTTTCCAGAATTTCAAAATAAATTTCACCATTTAAATTACCAGGAAAAAACAGAGGTCCAATTAGGTGGTCTCCCAAAATTCCTACCCAAACGTTTAGCTTTTCTGAATATTGAGTGTGAGCTTCTCAAAATACATGAGGATTTGTATCGCTCCAAATTCAACAGTTATGCCGGTTAACCTCTCCATTAAGCGAAAAAGTGCATTGGTCAGAAAAGCAAAAGTTGTAAAAGAAATTTGGCTTGTTGTTGATACGCTCGGCCATAATTTCGCAAAACTCTTGTCTTTGATACAAATCATCATCATTTAATTCATTAATTAATTTAATTTTGTACGGATGGAACTTGTGTTTAATGTAAAATTCTGAAAACGTTAGATTGGCCAATACCGGGAATTGCAGAAAGTTGTCGGACAGATTGCGTGTTTGACATAAGTTGGACATGGCCCAATACCGCCACAGCTGCTCCTTCATCATTCACAATTCCAATGGGTGCTCTTTTTTTTATCCATTACTGAACCAGTCTCAACAAATTTTGAAATCAATTCCATTACGTACTTATGGCGAACGCTACGTTCAGGATGGTTTCGGTTAAATATCCTTGCAGCCGCTCGGGCACCATTTTGATTTTGGTAATACAGGCTAACCAGCTCAACACGTTCTTGCAATGTGTACACCATTATTTATTTTTAAAATTGTAAGCAAATCAGCAAAATAGTAACTCAACAGATTGATTTTTAATACATGAAATGATCGAAGAAGAAACGTAATAAAAACCTTCTAAGAACAAAAAATGAAGACAAGATAAGAAAATGTTTTGATTTTTTTTATTTATTAGTTCGAGAGAATTTATTATTGTATGAAAGTCAATGGAGGACAATTTGAACATTTAATTTAAAAACGCAGTTTTGATTTTATGATTGTAAGCATGATAAACCAATTATTTTTTTTAAGAATGTGATTTTTTCATACACCGTTGTAAAGAGGCTTCCAAGACCTTACAAATGAAGTATCACTTAAGCCCTCTTCCCTATTCAATTTTGAGAGGTTGAAGCGCCCCCTCATAGGGGGTTGTTCGTTCAAGCCTCAAATATAAGTCACAAGATGTCCACCAAAAAAAATTATCCGATTTGTTTCGGGAAATTTTTCCAATTACTATGAGATAAGAAATATACGGGGTGGCTCGTCTGAGATGGAACACCCTGTATTATAGAAATACAGGAATTATGTTTTTATACTAAACAACTTACCTAGTTTATATTTATTGATAGTTATATAATATAGATAATATATGTACTTAAATTTGACGTAGCGGTATTCTTATTGTAATCGGGTCCTACTTATTACATAACAAAAAATATGCGAGTACATCTGGGGGGTACTTTTCTGATCTGTTATTGAAACTATGAAACTGTACTATTCCATCAAAAAACGATGTGATGATTATCCAAGACGACTTGTGCATGTGAATAATGCCCAGGAATTAATAGATTGCATTTCCAGGAATTGCCAAAATACAGGATAAGTCAATAGAATGGTTTTGTAAAGGGGTATTTTGACCCCGAAGATTGATCAAGGTACGTTTATTAATGAAATGTTGCTAAAGCAATTTGACGAAGAAGAAATAGTCAACTCAATAGACACAGTGTGTGACGTGGATGACGCCGTTAACTATCCGGTCGAGTTTTTGAATTCACCAACCAAAGGTACGCCGATAACGCCTCAAGCCGCTAAAACTCTATAACGGTACTCGGTTACAAGTTAAAATATTTCATATTAATTTAATTAAAGTCATTATTTTGACCAGATGTGCTCAAGGTGAAACAATGCTTGTGTCGCGGATTTATTTAATACCCTGCGATGTCCCTTTTGATTTTAAGAAGCTAAAGTTACGTATCGCCATGACCATAAATAAATCACAGCCAAATTTTAAAATTTGCTGAAGTAGATTACCTTATCATTTACGAGTAAGAAGTGTCGAACAAAAGCTAGTAATTTATAAAATTACTGCTTTATTTACACGTTACTTACAGTCACTTTAGCATTTCTTTTTTTATCCGTTATATGCTATTTTAATTATAATTTTTTCAAATATATTAAAAAAAAACATAAAATAAAAAACACACATTTAATACAGACCTCACATTTCAGTAGTGCCATCTGGTGAAAGAAAATCAACCATTTTTGTTATTAATTCACACAAAATATAACATTTGTGTGTTTTCTACTTACCTCATAAGATAATTCACGCTCCCATTTCTATAAATCCTCAACGAAAAATGCATCGGGATGATCGGATCTTTGAAATCCCCGTGCATTATAAAGTATGTATCCGGTATCCAGATGTCGCTGTGATGATGAATGGCATTCAGATAATTGTACTGACTTTGGTTGGAGTATTTTAATCTCGGATCGTACCACTGCTGTTGCAACAAGAATTCTACTTCGTATTTCTGAAAATTGAAAAAAAAAAATGTATTGCGGTAAATCGTTAATTTTTATTTTTGGTTTGTGATTGTACGAGGGTTGATCTCTATGCTTTGTCCCTGATCTATTTTTAGGTAAGGTATAAGAGAAGTACAAAAGTCATTTATTAAATTAATGAAGAAATAGACTGAACTAAAGATAAATAACCAAATGACCGACATAACTTAGGCAAGACATTCAATTAATTTTCTTCTTCTGTAGGACCGAGATCGATGTTTTCTGGTAACAATCGGTCTACACAGCATCATCGATGCTATTTAGTATATGTGTTGTTAGAAATCTAATATTATTCTGGTGCCTTGGTTATCCAAGAAACCATAACACTGATGCAACATGTGCCACAAGCACTTAAAGTTCTCGAACCGCATGGACATGTTCAGTAATAGTAGTAAACTGGATCATTATATTCAGTAAGTTCCTCTTTGTATGCCAACCACAACATGTATTTAAATGCGTTTATAAATCTAGAATAGATCCTTAAACGTAAAAAAATAGGTTCTTCTCTAAATTCGTCGATTACTAAAACATCATTTTCCTCTCTTTGCAATTTGTCTTAAATAATGATGGACTTAAATAAATATGGTAAGAGCCTATCAAGTCTTTTAGAAAATTGATTTGAACTCGTGTAAAATTCAGGAATATACATGTAGTTCAGTCTTCGTCATTGGCCATTTCTAGTAGTCATATTTGGGCTTTAACGCGTGCCTGTATAATATTAACGTCATCTAGTTTGTTTAAAATTTCAACTGCTATATCCATTGTACCTGGTGTATTTATGTGAGGATAAAACTTATTTAACAACGCACCTGCAATATGATAAAAATCACTTGAGTTGACAGAGTGATGCGTAGATATGCGGCCTTTAAAAAAACTTAAAAAAGTATTTAAAATGCCGTTGGTTTTGAGGAAGCAAAGGTGGCATATAAGTAATCGACCCAAGTTCTTTTAATCGAGGAATAACAGCTCTGTAGCCTCTATCTACTATTATTATATCTCGTTCTGTAATCCAGTTTCTAAATGCATTATTATTATTATTAGCTAATTGTTGTCGTAAGATTACTGCATCATTATTAGATACATCAGAAAAATAGGGATCGTTGATTGATAGAACATATCCGTCAGGAGCTATTGTAATTTCTGGCTTAACTAAATGTTCCTTCTTAAAACAGAAATACGCCTGACGTAATATTCTAAAATTACCACTTTTTTAATCGAGGTATATGTACAATCTACATAAAGTATGGCATTTGAGGTATCTGGTATAGGGTTGTAAAGCTTGTTTACGTTCTCAGGGACATGATTTATGATATAATTTTCTCCGGTTATTGATCTAAATCCAATATTACTAGGTACAAATCTTTATCAGTGACACACGCTCATTAGATATGACTATACCAGTGACTTGTCAGGATGAATAATTAAAAAGCAACTGTATGAACTCATCTGGCATTCCATGTCTTAGTTTAATAAGGAAAGCAAGTAAATCATTTTGTGCAATGTTTCTTAAGTTACCATATTGTTCTACCGGTTTACAAAATTCATATAATATAATAATAATAATAACATAATAATAATAAAGGTCTTTATTTTCATATTTTACAGATCAATTTCAATATAAGTTTGTATTGTGAAATACATTAAATGAATATCTATAATTATGAAGAAAGCCGAAGATCAGCTGTATACGTCTACAAGACGTATTAGCTGTTTTTCATCTTAAGCTAGCAAAAGAAAAAATATATAAGTTTATTGTACCGAAAACTAGAGAATGGAAGAGGTAGTTACTTTAAACTAACAATAATTGTGCCTATATTTTATTACATGAGCATTTAATTACAATATCAAGTCACCATTGATTGAAGTAAATTAAATGGATATAAATAAGTAATTATTTTAAATTGTAGAAGTAAGAAAGAAAGAAAAATAAATTAAATTAAATACAAATACACATATGTTTTAATTTTTATTTGTAGGGACACTTTTAATTAATACTCAGATAATATATATTTTTAAGGTTCTTTTTAAATGTAAATAAATACAGACATATTTTTGAATTTATTTGGCAAGTTGTTATAAACTTTGACTATCTGATAGCTAAATGATCTTTTAAATGCTTCTGAATTATGCAGTGGTGTATTAATAAGATTTTTGTTACGTGTATTTAAGGAATGTATTGTTGATCTAGAGCGTATTTTATTATATAAGTAACTTGGACATTTTTATTTTGTAAGATTTTATGATAAAGGGAACTATTTAGAAGATACCGTCGGTCACACTAGCGCAATAATTAAAATGTGATAGTACAAGGCTTTCACATAAATTTATTTTTAATTTTTTTCTTAAGTTATGTCTTTCCCGATAAATTAAGTTTAAGTTGGCATACGCACGGCGAATACAATTATTTACATGTTCGGTGAAATTTAGGTTCTGATTTAATATAACCCCTTCATTTTTTTCAGTATCTTTTATAGAGATGGACACATCCTGGACTTTAATTTTTATTAAATTTGAATTTAAAACCTCAGTTATTTTTTGTTGGGTATTAAGGCTGTACTTTTAGAAGAATTTATAATCAGACCATGATCACTTGCACTCTTCAGAAGGTTTGATATATCAGTATTAATAACTTTAGTGTTTTCAATAATATTGTTTGAAAATGAGTGGTAAAGTAGCGTATCATCAGCATAAAAGTGGAAATTGCAGTGTTTGACGACTTTTGCGAAATTTGACGTATATAGAGTATATAACAATGGTCCTAAAATCGATCCCTGAGGTACACCTGATGATATAATTAAGGGATTTGAAACCCTTTCTTTTAATTTTACTAACTGACTTCGGTTGCTATAGTAGCTTCTAATTAAGTCTACCGCACCGTTTGTGAAAAATCTAATAGAGTTCAGATAGTTATCTTATTATGATCCGTTGCACTAAAAATATCATCTGTGATATTGAGAAGGGCTGTTTCGTAGCTGTAATTTGCTCTAAACCCAGACTGTACCTCAGGAAGCAATTTATTTTCAACTGCATATTTTCTCAACTGTGTTTCCAGAACTCTTTCTATTACTTCAGATAAAGTTGGGAGAATACTAATGGGCCTAAGGTCCTTAAGTTCTTGGGGATTAGCTTTTTTAGGTACAGGGATGACAATGGCCTCTTTCCATTTGTCAGCAAATGTTCCTTGTTCTATGCAGAAATTTACTATGTGTGTAATATAAGGTATTATATAAGGAGGACAATATAAGAGAAGTTTTATGTTTAAACAATAACTTCCCATGGCATGTGTTTTTATGTTATAAAGAATTTTCTGGATTTTTCTATGTTCTTTACTCAATGGCCTGAATGATTAAGATGAATGTCAGAAATCTTTAGATATTCAGGTACATAAATATTTAAAACTAAAAAAATATTTGCAATAATCTAACTTTTAAAATTATGATAATTAACATAACGTTACTAAGCTTTTTATATCTAGTTTGTATTTATCGAAAAGAATAATAAACCGAAATGTAGTTCGTACTAGTTATTGCCACTATTACAAAAAAAACCTTCACCAGAACAGGGCGAAGAAAGTTATGGACAAAAAATGTTATGCATTAAAATATGAATAAAATTCAAAATTAATTACTTGAGATTGACTCTAAGCTATTTAACTACAGGTGAAACTTTAAATACGATAGGCACAAGACAATGGCAGTATTTGGCAATTATTGCAGTTTAAGTAAACAAATTTAAAACTTACTGGAATTGTACCTGGGCAATGGGAAGTAATAAACAAATAATTTTTTAAGTTTATCCTATTATTTATTTGTTACAGAGTTTAAGATACATTACGTTACTTATATGTATACAAAAAAATATTTATATTATTAATGTAACAAGAACATATTTGTTTTACCTTAAAGCTCTCACTTTAAATTATAAAGGCATACCTATTAACAACTATTTTATTTGAAAGGATATCGAGTAGTAATCAGTAGTGCACAAACGATACTAATTCACAGTACCTATCTGTTCAAAATCTTTACCACCAGCTTTAATGCAAGCATTAATCGTTCTTCTTTGAACACATTATGCAGTTTCTCCTCAGTTATATTTTGTATTTTATTTAATATAGGCGCTCCAGTTCATGTCACACAAACAATTTTGAATTGATCGATCTGTAATAGTCCATAGGTAGGTTTAACAAAATTAAGGTAGAATGATTGTTGCAGTACCGAAACTTTATAGGGGTTGCATTATCAGAAATGTTTTCAATACTTTATGGATAGTTCCTAGTGACAAACCTAAAAAAAATGTTTTTAATTTCACTCGTCAGAGTCAGTCTTTGAAACACCGTTCATACCTGTTTGAGGTGCAGTTTTGTTACTAATTTATTGGGAATTTGCACCATGTTAATTTGCACTTCTCCAAGAGCTTTTGTTATTACTGTGGGCCTTTTAGAGCTTTTTCCTTTTTTTATAATTTTGAACAAGTATTTGTTTATGACGACAAAAAAGAATCACATTCCATTTATTCACCTGGAAAACGTTCCTCAAATTTTCGAATACAATTATGAATATAAAATAATTTTGTTTCTGTGTAACATTACCTGAAATAAATTATATACAGTCATTAACTTTTACGAGTTACAGTAAATAAATGTATACTTACCAACAAAAAAGAATTAACCCGAACCAATAATCTCTAAAAATAACTAATTGCTTTATTAATATTAAATGAAAAATGGAATAAAAGTGTTTTTAAAATGTAAACAAATATAATATAAATATTGTCAGTCCCCAAATAAACGCCAGTGATATTTCTGACAGGACTGACGGTTTAGTTTAGTTCCTTTTACGTCAAATCAGGCCCTTTCGATGGGTTTTTGATGGTTATCAGATCACGTGGGTTTCGGGTATTGTTGAAAACCTGGTATATATATACATTTATAAGTTTCTCCTATACCTTACCTCCTAGAATATTACGTCAGTCGTATTCACATACTTTGATATGTGGTCGTATTGCTATTTTAAGAAGAAACATTTAATTAAGCCCTATTTTTCTGATGAATCTATTAATGATGCAGCAACCTTACCGCAACAAATGGCAAATGATAATAATGCTCAGAAACTGAATTACAGAAGCAGATATAATATTAGTAGACAGAGGCTACAGAGATGTTATTCCTAGATTGGAAGAACTTGGGTTAATTACTTATATGCCACCTTTGCGTTCTCAAAACCAACGGCAATTATCAACAAGTGAGGCTAATAGAGCGAGACTAATAACCAAAACTCGTTGAATTGTAGAAGCTCGAAATTGGCATTTTAAATCTTTTAATTTTTTTAAAGGCCGCATATCTACGCATCATGCTGTCAACTTAACTGATTTTTATCAGATTGTAGGTGCGTTGTTAAATGTTTCATCCTCTCATAAATATACTAGGTACAATGGACATAACATTTAAAATTTTAAACAAACTAGATGACGTTAATATTATACAAACACACGTTAAAACCCAAAAACTGACTACTAGAAATGGCATATGGCGAAGACTGAACTACACGCATATTCCTGAATTTTCTCGAATACAGATCAATTTTCTAAAAGATTTGATAGGTTCCTACCATATTTATTTGTCCATCATATATTCAAGACAAATTACAAAGAGAGCAAAATAATGTTTTAGAAATCGACGAGTTTGGAGAAGTACCTATTTTTTTACGTTTTAAGATCTATTCTAGGTTTAAAAACGCAAATAAATAGATGTTAAGGTTGTTATATGAAGAAGAACTTTCTAAAAATAATAATCCTGTTTTCTACTGTTACTATACATGTCCATACGTTTCGGTAAACTTTAATTTTCAACAGTGGTATGGTTTCGTGGAAATGCAAAGCACCAGAATAATATGGTGTTTTTCATTGGAATATTCAGTACGTTGTGCGTATATTCTTATTTTCTTCTGTTCCATTTCTATAAACAAGGACACACACATATACTCAGTAGATACAACCAGTGCCAATGGAAAACGCCATTAGATTTCCAACAACACTTCTAATAAATAGCATCGATGATGATGATTATTACCAGAAACTATCGATATCGGTCCTATAGTAGAAGAAAATTAATTTATACGGCTATCTCGTATTTGCGCTTAATACTTACCGATAAGGTTGTGGTTCGGTTACGTCAGTCATTTGGTCATTTACCTTTAGTTCAGGCTGTTTCTTCAATAATTTAATATTTGACTTTTGTCTTCTCCTATACCTTACCCTCTATACCTTTGTGATTTTTAAAAACGTCAAAACAGGTGAAAACGCACACAAAATGTTCATAGACCTTTTAGTTTTTAGGATACAGGGCATTTGTAATAGTGTTGCATTTTGGCACCCCCTCGTATCTTCGTTATCCTCTTATCAAAAAAGGTAAAATAACTTCTTATAGATTTTTCCGTAGAATTCAGTGGTGAAGAAAATTTTAATTACTTATTTACTATTTTTGAGTTATAAAGAAAACTTATATTTTTTGAAATGGAACACCCTGTATATTTATATACTATAAAATTTGTCTTTTTTTACCTTTTTACAAATATATAATAGTAAGCACTTTTTCTCAAAAACACGCAAATAACTGACATTTTTCTAAAATTTAATGCATAATTTAATAGTAGGCCATGGATATTGTTTATGACAAGAAACAAACAAATGTCGAATATTTGTCTAGCTCATCGGTTTTTGGATAGACTTTTGGTTTAGCGAACAGCACCAATTCGCCAGTTGGTTATCTTACTATGTTGATTCCACATATACTTTATTTCAAACCTAGTTGAACGGGTGGCTTAGCATATAGGTGTTTCTCCATTAGCTACGAACAGTGTATTCACCAGTTTGTTAACTTACTGTTAAAATTTACTATCTCTGTTTGTACAATTTATCTAAGATAGTATATCCCTGTATAGTTCTAAAATATTAATTTTTATAGTTTCTATTGAAATTACTTAATACAACCCTGTATATTTTTTTATATTGATTTTTAAAATTACTATCGAATTGACTTAAATTCACCTATCGAAAATAGATGACTAACCTAACTGTCTTTCGGGATGAACGACTGAAGGCCATATGGTTTATTGGTTACATTGATAATATTTTGAAGAAAATGTCAGGCCCTCGTCTAAACGACCCCGGTGGTATCTTAAAGAAAGTTAAATAAATCTTTTGACCCACCATTGAAAATATGGACATTAGAATATGTACTAATTTCAACTAGCGTTGTGACGGCGTCGATTTAGGTACGTCGCAGCATTGAGCATCGCGTTGCGTCGAGGCACCTAGCGTCGTGGTGAAGAGGAAGGTATTTAATACGGTACTGCATAGAAACAAATACACGGTAGAAATATTAAGGTGGTGCGAGACGTGACAAAGGGTGTCGACAAGGATATTATGAAGGAAATATTTAGGGCCGGCAAGCGTCGGGAAATAAGGTGTGGGACGTTGACAGCGTTCGGGGGATAGGAGATATTGTAGGATAGACATTGTTTTAGGAAGAGCGTTTTTGGAAAGGTACTGACTACTGGACTGAAATATAATACAAATATTAAAATGAATGATTGCACATCAAATAATAAAAATGAATGAATCCGAGCTCATTTGAGTCCGGGTTCTTATACCCATTTTAATGGCTTTTTGTGACGCCAGTGTCTTAGTTCCCAGCGAAAAATGAAACTCATCTATTTTTTTTTAACCTTTAAAAATTTGTTTTTTTTAATAATGTTATTGTTTGTGTTTGTTCAAAAAACTCTATAGGTATTTTTTTCATAAAAAGATACCTATATGCAAGTTATCCAATTCTTCGTTAGTAATATGTAACTCTCACTTGTTAATAATTGTTATCCATGGCCTACTATTAAATTGTGCATTTAATTTTAGAAAATTTTCATTTATATGCGTGTTTCTGAGAAAAAGTATTTTTAGAAGGTAAAACATCTAATGTGTCCAACACATGACTTTCCTATCTAGTTATTATAGGCTTTTTCCAATTATTTTGTACAATTCATTGCAGCACCTCTATAAATGTTTAGAGGATAAATTAAATATATACATTTTCCACATACATCTAACTCGAAAAATTTTTCTATAGATATTCATTGAAAACGAAAATACTGAAAAATTTGAATTTAGCACTTTTTCTCCAATTTTTCCATTACGGTCCATTTTAGAAAAATCATATAAAAACAAAAATTACAGAGATCGATATCGCAAATAACTTTTAGTTTAACAATTTTCTTAAAAATCAGAATTTTGCACATTTTTGTCAAATTTCTCGAATACGGACCATTTCAGGAAAATTTCACATACAACAAAAATTATAGATAATAATATTAGAAGAAACTTTTATTTGAACAATTTTTTTCTCCAAACATAAATAACAGATATATTCCATAAAATATAAAAACGGACTCCCATAAAGTACCCCCCAGATGTTCCGACTTTGTTCAAAATCTAATCATTTCACGTCAGGCCGAAATAAAACTTAAGGTTATAAAATTTTATATTTTTCCTTTATCCGTTTTTGAGTTTTCTTCAAAATTCGAAATTTACGCATTTTCTCAAATATCTCGAATACGGTCCATTTTAGAGAAATTATGTACAAAATAAAAAATTATAGAGAATTATATAACAAACAACTTTTATTTAAAGAATTTTTATAAACAATTATTTTTTTATATTTTGTCAAATTTCTCGAATGTGGACCATTTTAGAAAAATTTTGTAATACACACACGCACGGACGTACGCACGCAAGCACGCACGCACGCACGCACGCACGCACGCACGCACGCACGCACGCACGCACGCACGCACGCACGCACGCACGCACGCACGCACGCACGCACGCACGCACGCACGCACGCACGCACGCACGCACGCACGCACGCACGCACGCACGCACGCACGCACGCACGCACGCACGCACGCACGCACGCACGCACGCACGCACGCACGCACGCACGCACGCACGCACGCACGCACGCACGCACGCACGCACGCACGCACGCACGCACGCACGCACGCACGCACGCACGCACGCACGCACGCACGCACGCACGCACGCACGCACGCACGCACGCACGCACGCACGCACGCACGCACGCACGCACGCACGCACGCACGCACGCACGCACGCACGCACGCACGCACGCACGCACGCACGCACGCACGCACGCACGCACGCACGCACGCACGCACGCACGCACGCACGCACGCACGCACGCACGCACGCACGCACGCACGCACGCACGCACGCACGCACGCACGCACGCACGCACGCACGCACGCACGCACGCACGCACGCACGCACGCACGCACGCACGCACGCACGCACGCACGCACGCACGCACGCACGCACGCATTATATATAGGTCACTGTAGTTTAAACTTACCAAACTTGATTCATCAGGAGAAGCCAGACTTAGCAGTAGTACGCTTACGTTAACAGTCAGTGATTCTGCAACAAAACCTCAAATTACCTATTAACATTTTCTCTTATCAAATATTTGGATTAAAAGTTTTTAATTTTAAATTTCTTCGCATTTTGATTTAAAAATATAAATAACTTTAAAAGATATAATAATAGCTTTGTTCAAAAAAGTACTTGCTATGTTAAATAATAAAATAATTTGACATTTTTCGCATTTAAAAGGTAGGTATTAATAAACTATTTCAAAAATGTCGGAGTTTAGAAACCTTCCGCTTCTTATTCAAGGCTGAAAACGGAAGTGATAATAAATACATATTGGGGTCTATTCTGTAACAATTCCTTTATATTTAACGGCCTTTAAAAATATTGGCGGCCTATAAACATATGTTTGTATTCGTTAATTTACTTCTGTCATTATTTAAACAGATTTTATTCTCTAATGTATTTTAAAGATCCGCTTAAATAATGACAGAAGTAAAGGAGAAAATATTTTTAAAGGCCGTTAAATATAAAGGAGTTGTTTCAGAATAGACCCCATTATCTACTTAATAAGAAATAAGCAAATAATTCATAAAATACCAAGATTCTTATCTAGGTATGTAGGCAACTATTTAATATATGTAGCACGTTACTAAAATTATTTTTTATGCCTGGAGTTTCAACAAGTTACTCGTTGCTTTAATAATAGATATAAAACATTGGTATTGGTTGCGTGTTTCCATTTCAAACGGTAAACATCAAAGAATAAATTTGGAAAAAGCTTTCCTAAATAAATCACACTGGGAATTTTGTGTTTTTACAATGGCGACAATAATAGTATCCGAGTGCCAGAAAATCAACATGAAATAATACCAAGATATAAACTTTATATGTGTCGCAAGTTGTTTTAACTTCAATAAAAGTGAATTGCAAATGTTTTCATAAAATACACGGAACATGAAATAATAAGAATCAAATTGATTAAGTAGTTAATTTATTTTTGTATATATTTACCGAAAGACAAACAGCAGAGGGAGTTACGTGTAGAGGGTAGGGAGTTGCGCGGAATGGAAAATTTACAGGATTAAAGATATTTACTGCTTTAAAATAATTTACAGGTTTATAGGAATTTGTAGGTTAATAGGAATTTAAGAAATCAAGAGGAGTTGTGGAAAAGACCCCGCAGACCGCTAATGGAAAAGTGGCGACCTGTTAAATATCATAAATTTTTGATATGTTGCAGTTCCCGACCTCTTAAGGACGGGTTTACCACCATGGTTCTTGTATATGCTCACAGATAACGCTAGCATACTCATTTGGGTAATTTTAGTGGTTTAAAATATTCAACAGCGGTCCAACTAAAAGGTCAACATCACCTCGTTCATTTTAGAACAAAAATATTCTGACCTGCTGTTTGAAACACTTGGCAACAAGCATCTCCGCAGATGTTTAGTAATTTTCGTTATTTGTGAAGACATTTGGTATCTGAATTTCATCGTTATCAAGTCTGATATAATAAGAAAATTAGCGTTCATTTGGTATCAATAAATTAAAAATTCAATACATTTATATTTTCATAAACGGAATAAAAAATATTTTAATACTCGAACATGCTTATTCCATTGTTTTTGTATCAAAAGAGACGAAAAACAGCACTGTTTATGTCGTAAGATATGAAAATTCTTCAATTTCCTTAGGACCGACAACCTCGCATCGAAACTTTATAAATGAAGGGAAGGGTGTATTTACATATTTATTGATTTTTTGCACTTGCTCTGTGTTCTTGTCGAGAATGTCAATTTCAAATCAGGTATGATGTCCTAGTAAGGTGTAATGTCATAATTTTGTGTAATCATTATAATCAGGTGTAACTGTAAAATCTGGTAAAATATCAAACAATTATATTTTAGATTGATTTTGGTCATTGTATAATACTGATCATGGGTAATTTTAAAAGACAAGCCAGTAAACCTCGTACCTCGTAAAAGATGACATCGAACGTACCTATTGTTACAGGAAGTTTTTAATATTTTGCCCCAATATGAAATTCGAACCTAAATATTCGTGCAATATTAATTAATCACCTATAATTCTTGATAAATTGTTTTTAAATGAGGTACAATTAAAAAATAGTTTAGTTACAAAATAATAAAACGACTTTAAATGCCATCCAAAAAACAGTCATGATAATTTAGGGTTAAAAAAATCATTTAACCACTTATTTAGCGTTGTATTATGATAAAAATGGTTCATAGTAAAGCTCAAACTTCACTTTATTTAGAGCTTCTTTAAAAATTCAGGAAATCTCTCTACTTTTTTCAATCACTGTCTTCGCGTTGGTTGATACTTTGCATGTAATATTTTGCCGCCATTATGATGGTAACTAGTAACAGCCTTAAAATCGAGCACATTACAACGCTGCTTTTTGTAACTAGCTGAAGTGCTTTACAAGAGAAGTCAACATTTCAATAAAAAAGATGAATTCCTAACTTCAGATCACAAAAAGTTACTAAAATTCCCTGTTGCCTCTGGTGGTCAAACCTATAAACTACGGATCTAGTGATAAAATGGCTTATTTAGTATTATTTTAAAAATTTCTACTAGAATCCAGTAATTGGTTCTAATACGTATTTTTTGACAACAATATTTGAATGCAAGATGTTGCAATATATAAGCTTTGCTATGAAGTAGTTTAGTTATAAAATTATGAAACAAATTTAAATGGCATCGAAAAAACTGTTTATGATAATTTAGTGTTTAAAAAAAATCATTTAACCACTTATTTAGCGTTGTATTATGATGAAAATGCTTCATAGCAAAGCTCAAACTTTATTTTATGTAGAGCTCCTATAAAAAATCAGTAAATCTTTTTACTTTTTTAAATCACTGTCTTCGCGTTGGTTGATATTTTGCATGCAATATTTTGCCGCCATTAATTGTGGAAATCGCAGCCTTAAGCAATATTATCCATAGAACCATTCAAATCCTATAACTGGTTTTGGAGATACAGGGTGTTAAACTTAAGAAATACCACTTATTTGAAAACGATTATTTTAGGAGAAAGCTAATCGATTATAATTTTTTGTGTCAAATCTTATTGTAACATCTTTTGACATTCTACGAATATAAAAATAGCTTAAAAATTATTTTTCTTTACAGGGTGAGCTGCAACTAAGTGAGGTCATGTTTTTGATAGTTACTTTTATTGTTCTAGAAAGTGAAAATATTTACTAAAAAATAAATTATTGCTATATTTATCATGTGTAATGATAATACAAAATATATTAGGTGCCATTTATACGGGGTGATTCGTAAATATTGACATAGACCAATATATATTTTTATAAGTATTGAAACGCAGTAATTTTACGGGACTTTTTTGTATTTACCATATGTATAATTATCCAATTCATTGACTACAGGGTGATTTAATTAATAGATTGATAGTTAATTTATCAAATATGTCAAAAAACATTTTTTTTAAACACCTTATACTTTTTGATTACTCCTGTAGAAGTATACATATTTCTTCACATCCATACAGGGTGTTAAACTTAGAAAACTGCCCTTTTTATTACTTGTTACTACAGGAAAAAGCTAATTAATTACAATTTTGTATGTCTAATATTATTACAACATCCGTTGACACTCCACGAATATACACAAAAATCTAAAAATATTTGTCTCCACGGGGTGAATCGTGAATAAGAAAGAACATTTTTTTTTGATAATTACTTTCATTGTTTTAGAATTTGAAAATATGTAAAAAAAATTAATTATTGCTATAATTATCAGTGTTAATAATAAATCAAAAGCTTTTAGGTGCCACCCAGTAAACCACAAATAATCGGCATTCGCCCGGCCGAACACTGGCATGTACGGGAAGCCGAGAACTCGGATTGCCATTGTCGGCGTTTCTTCTCAGCAGGGAGGACTATACAATTTGGCGTAATTTAGAAGTAGAACCCGAATGTGGTCAATATTTGGCATTCCAGACATGGAAGGCAGCCTTACGGGCCGAACGCAGTGAATATTTGGCTAGCCGGGCATGGGTGGCATCCTTACGGGCCAAATTGTATATAGATATATGAACGCGGCTACAATTTAGTTGGCTGCCGACATTCGGCTAGGCGGACATGCCCTACCTATATGCCGAAGCTGCACCCGTATATCGGGCTGAGTCCGGCATCCAGCAAGCCTCTTTTGGCCCACTTACGGTGCTGATAAACTTTGTTTATTGGGCATTTATACAGAGTGATTCGATTTTTTTTTTTAATGTGAACCTCAGTATTTTTAATTGACTTTTGTGTATTTTTCATATTAACATGTGTATAACTATCATATTTATTGATTACATGGTGATTTAATAGATAGATTAATAGTTAATTTATCGAATGTGTCAAAAATATTTAAAAAATCACCCTGTATTTTTAGTCCTGTAAAGATGTTTCTTTACTGGTGTATCAACCATTCTGTAGAAAATAAATTCCCAAAATTACAGCTTTTTAATATGATAGGTTTTTGAGATACAGGATTTGACTTAAGGAGTACCCACTTTTTGTTACCTGTTATTCCGGGAAAAGACTAACCAATTGCAATTTTTTGTGGCTAATTTTATTGTAACCTCTTATCATTCGACGAATACACAAAGGGGGTAATTACTCATTTTGTAAATGAAGAAACTATTTGGTCTTTATTTATATTCGTGTAATGCTAAAAGATATTTATATTTTAATAATTTCACTAAAAAGGCCATTAAAAAGTACAAGCGGCGACAAAAGAAGCATTTCATAAGTTTAGCACCTATGGTATCTCAAAAGCCTATTACAGTTAAAAGCTGAAATTTTGGGAAATTATGTTCTACTGAAAGAAATATGTAGGCATACCTCTACAGAACATTAAATATTTATCAATTAGTCACCCTGTATAAAATACCGCTAATCCCATTAACGCTGATGAAAAAAATATGGTCCACCGTCGACATATAGGTCATCATATCGTACGTAACTAACGTATTTTTTATGATTTAAGCAATATATCTAGTAATA